GCATTCGGACCATATCATACCTGGGTTGGGGGAGGGAGGGCAAGGTTGGCAAAGGTGTGACCCTCAAAATCCTCAGCTATGCCCTCTATGCCCAGGCACCAGACGTTGCATTAAACTTGCAAAAACACTGTCTCCCCTGAGCAAATGGCAAAGGAAGCATTTCTCCAGCTCCACCCAAAATGTGGTCCTTCCTGGAATGCAAAAACCTAGTGGCCAGAGCAATCTATATTCTCTTATAGCTGCCCTTCCCAATATTCACTGACTCTCAGGATAATAAATCGCAACCATCATCAACAACAATAGTTCTGCCAAGTCCTCAAAGAACCCCATGTACATTTTATAGTTGCAATCCCCACAATAACCCGGTAAGAGAAGTTAAAATAGGGTTGCGATATTTCAAGAAGTAAAAATCCAGACATTTTGCTGATTTCCCCAAATTCCTCCCAGACGCTAATTCCATCATTGGAATCCTGGACATGTCCAGGAAAATCTGGATGTATGGCAATGCTTAGTTACTGTAAGTGGTGGTGGCTGGCCTAAGGCTGCCTAGTAAGTTCATGGCAGAGGCAAAATTCAAACCAAGGACCTCCTGATTTGTAGCTTAGGGCTCATCCAGACTTCCTTTTGTGTCACAGTTCTAGACACAGGTCCACGCTTTAAAATACCGTGTCTGATCACTTGGGTTGTTGTTTCTGCCCTGGCATTTCCCCCACAAAAGCCTAGTCTATACTGCTGAGTCAGAGTAAATGGCAATCCTCGGAAAACCCAGATTGCTGTTTATTCGGGTTTTGGGTCAAAGCATGGGTTTTCCTGAGGAAAGAGGCAGGTGAAAAAGAAGTGCTCAGACATGGAGCTGTAAAGCGTGGACCTGTGATTAGAAAGTGTAGGGCAAAAGGTGGCCCATAGCCACTATGCTACACCAATAGCAACCAAGAGAAATCTTGTAGTAATTCATGATTTTCCACCCAAAACTCAGCTATGAAGAATTGTTAATGTCCCAGCACCAGTTTTCACATCAAATGCAGTTTTTTCATTGAAATTCAGTTCACTCTGCTTAATTCAAAATATTATCATCCTGACTGAGTGCGGTTTCATTTGTGATGTAATTGAGAAAATAATTGGGGGGAAACCAGAAAAAAATTGTAGCAAGATATAAAATGTTATATTCTTTATCTAGGCTGCAGAGAGAGTTTGCACAGGTTGTGGGCAGTTATTCTCAGAGAACAGTAGTGAAAATGGGAGATATCTAGGGGGTGGGCAGGGAGGACAAACAAATATCCTGAATTGTCTTCACTTGTCATGCACCTGTTACCTAAAAAAGCATTCCTTTCTCAAAATACAGATCTCCTGGGAGGCATTTCAATATGATTTTAAAAAATAAATAATTCATACTGTCATTCATGAATTTTTTACAGCTTGTCGCTTATTCACTTTCCCAAATCTAATATCCCACACAACTGTTGTTTAACGCACTTTCATTTGGGATGCACAAAGATTGCATATCTTTATTTGCACTGTAAATGAGCAGGCTCAGAGCCAGGAGATTCCATTGTCTGAAGGACGGTATCAGCTTCTGACAAAAAGAACTCAGCTCCAAATCTTCCAGGTAGAATTTGGAGCACCTCTGCATGGGAGGCTTCCTTAGTTTCACAGAACCATGTCAGCCTGGGGCAACCCAGGAAAAAAACATGGGCCCACCTGCTACCATGTCAGTTGTGGCACAGCAGGTGTAGAAATTAAATTCAGGTATGCAAGCAGATCCTGAGCACTGCAGTCCTCTTCCTGCAGTTTCCAGGAACTGGGATTCAGAAGCATGCTGCCTCCAACAGTAGAGGGGGAACATAGTCATTTTGGTTAGTAGCCACACAGCAGAGCAGAGTAGTAGAGCATCTGCTTTGCATGTGGGACATCCCAGGTTCAATCCCCAGCATTGCCAGGGAGCTCTGAGAGAAGCCCAGATTTGAAATTCTGGAGAGCCACTGCTAGTCTCTGTGCATAATACTGAGCTGGATGGTCTGACTAAGTGTGAAGCCGATTCCTATTTTCCTAAGGAGGCACCCAGCACTTGCTATTCTTAATGGGACCTTTTCTCTCATTACTAACAGCAGGTGTATAAACAGCCTCGGCCCAATGTACCTGAAGGAGCATCTCCACCCCTATCATTCAGCCCAGACACTGAGGTCCAGCTCTGAGGGCCTTCTGGCAGTTCCCTCACTGCGAGAAGCCAAGCTATAGGGAACCAGGCAGAGGGCCTTCTTGGTAGTGGTGCCCACCCTGTGGAACGCCCTCCCATCAGATGTCAAGGAAATAAACAACTATCTGACTTTTAGAAGGTAACTGAAGGCAGCCCTGTTTGGGGAAGTTTTTAATGTTTGATGTTTTATCGTGTTTTTAATATTCTGTTGGGAGTTGTCCAGAATGGCTGGGGAAACCCTGCTGGATGGGCGGGGTATTATTATTATTATTATTATTATTATTAATATTTTGAGGAGGGTAGAGTCTGATTGGGTCCATTGCAGGGGCAAAGAGCTACACCTCCTGCCAATACACAGTGGACCTAATCCAGTTTGGGCTTCCCCGTAACACATCTGCCATTTATTTATAAAAAATAAACCAAGCATGCCAGAGTAAACTATGAGACACATCACAAGTGGTTTGACCTTCAGCCTAAGAAAGTGAAACAGCACCCAGTAAAGCAGCTTCTGGGGGGCTTTGTGCATTGTTCTCCCATGTAAACTTTGTTCTCTCATGTCAATGCTGTCTGCTATGATCTTACTGATTTTCTCAGATTTTCACTGGGGAATTATAAGATCCATGCATTGGCACAATTTGGCTTGGAAAGATCAGGTATGTTATACAAGATCACCAAGGCTGTTTGGAAAAAGTAGAGACAGTCTTAGTGTTTGATTTCCAAGATAATTTGCTTACCGATGGATAGCAAGAGAGAGGGCAGTCAATCATGTAGGCAAATGTTTTCTCCCCCATAGGACTTCAAGCACTGCTCAAAACAAATGCAACTGAGCTGAGCTACACTGTTCGTTATCAGCCCTCGAAAACATTCATAAAGCTGTATCAGAATTGGCAAGCTATTAAACAGAATGCTATAACTTCCTAGAAGCAATTTAAATGAGAAAATCAAACGACACTCTTCTAGAAAGTCGGATAAAAATAAATAAATGAATAAAATCCAACATTATTCCAGAGTGCCTGGAGCAGTAGTGATAAAGATTTCTCTGATTATGAGCAGGGTACCAAAATCTTCGCATGGACACACACAGGGCAGATACCAATTCACTTCTTTAGCCAACAGCCTCACCACTGGTCCTTCATGCCTTCCTCATAATTCCTGTTGGCAATAGTCTTATTTTAAACACCAAGGATGGGGAATCTGTGCCCCTCCTAGATGCTATTGGCCTCCAGCTCCCATTAGCCCAACTCCCATTAGCTCCAATTAGGCCAATGATCAAAGAGAGTGGTAGCTGTAGCTCGACAACATCTGCAGGACTCCACTTAGGTACCTCTGATGTAATGTTACTGGCAGGGGATGAAAGATTCCACAGAGAAGGCCCCTTTCAGAGGCATCCCTGAGCTCCAGCTTTTAGCCCTGACTTTTCTCTCTGCTCTTCACTGCCATCGGTCTGGGTCCCCTTGACCTGTGCCTACGAGAACAATAGGTGATTGCATTTCCACTTACCTAGAACCCATTTCATGATGAGCATTTCTGTCCATGAGAACTGTGTTGTTTTTACTCTAAATATTTGTTTGGGATGATCCATGGCAGTTTCATTGGGTAGCAGCTTGACTCCTTCAAATCGGTCTGAGGCGTTCACTACTAAGAGTCCAAGGAAAATGGTGAAAGAAACGGCGTGTGCCACAAACTTCATGAAGGGGCTCCGGAGTGTCTGTCCCAGCTGAAGACAAAGGACATACAAAGCCATGAAGCTGACTTCAACATTTCTGCCGTAAGAAAAGCAAGACTTTCTTCAGGTTTACATGGCACAATTTCAATGCCTGAAGGCGTTATTTAAGAGTAAGGCATAGATTTCAGTGGCATCTACGTCTAAGTAATGGATTTGAAACACAAATACTTCACTTACAGGTATTCTAACACAGTCCTGCTGATGGTACCTACGCACTTGTACATGTGACATTTCCAAAATAAGGATCGCCCAGAAGTTGTACTTATAAGTCATTACCTCCTGGGACCTAAAAGTAAGGTTGCCATATTTCAAAAGGTGAACATCCGAGATTTTTTTTGGCAAAGTTGTTGAGTTGTTTTTTAGCTTTTGGGGGGCCAAGTCGCAATTTATTTGTCATTTTTGAGTTATTTTTATTTTAAAAAAATATTGGCATAAATGGCACTGCTGCCATGGGCTGCCATAAGTTTGGACATTTTTTTCTGGACATTTTCTCCCAGACATTTTTTCTGATTTCTGCCCGGACACTGCTAAAGACAGCTGGATTCTGGATATGTCCAGGAAGTCACAGATGTGTGGCAACCCTATTAAAAGTATATACTAGAGGCCCTGAATCTAATAGAAGAAAGAATGTTAACGTATTCAGTACACTGAAAAGTCCAACAAAAATGCTAAAACAATATGGCATCAGTGTGCCTAAAATGGACACACATGCATTTGTTTCATGCACATCTCCCACCTGGGTGATGAAGCAAAGAAATCGCTTTAGGTGAACACCCTAAAAAGCCAGATTAAAAAACCCCCTATCAAATAAACAGTATTAATTAAGCAATAATGCCGGAAGCATCCCTAAACACTACATATGTGATCAACAATCCATGCGTTCTGCCCATATCATGTGGAAAGGGAAGTGTGAGGTGGGTGGGTTTGATTTCAAGAGCAAAAACGGTGGATGGACTGGGATGCCTAATTCCTCCTACTGCCTCTTCTGTATCTCTCAACAGGTACAACAAATGTCCCTGCACATTTTTCCTCCCCAGTGAAACTGTAATATTAGAAGTGAGGTCACATGGGAAAAGAAAGGGAGGGTCATAGCTCAGATGTAGAACATCTGCCTTGCATGCAGAAGGTCACAGGATCAACCCCTGGCATCTCCACATAGAGATGGGAGAGAAACCGGCCTGAAACCCTGAGAATCACTAACAGTCAGTCTGGACAGTACTGAGCTACATGGACTAATGCTCTGGCTCCATATAAGGCAGCTTCCTTTGGAGGGAGAGATTGCAGGTTACTAAGCCATGGGATGTGGGTGTTGCTGTGGTCTAAACCACAGAGCCTAGGGCTTGCCGATCAGAAGGTTGGCGGTTCGAATCCCCGCGACGGGGTGAATTCCCGTTGTTCGGTCCCAGCTCCTGCCAACCTAGCAGTTCGAAAGCACATCAAAGTGCAAGTAGATAAATAGGTACCGCTCTGGCGGGAAGGTAAACGCTGTTTCTGTGCGCCGCTCTGGTTTCGCCAGAAGCGGCTTAGTCATGCTGGCCACATGACCCAGAAAAACTGTCTTTGGACAAACATTGGCTCCCTTGGCCACTAAAGCGAGATGAGCGCCGCAACCCCAGAGTCGTTCGCTGCTGGACTTAACAGTCAGGAGTCCCTTTACCTTTACCTTCAAGCCATGGACAAAGGTTAAAACAAATTGATCCATAGCTGTTTAATCTACTTTGGTCCTTGCCCACTCCATCACATTGTAACAAGTTTTCACTATGAAGTTTCAACATTTTAAAGTTTCAACTTTGCCAATAAACACTTGCAATAATGTACGAGTAATTGTTCAAGAGAGAAATATTATCTTTAAAAAAAGAAGAAAGAGAGAAAGAAAGAAAAGACTACAAACAAATTTACAAACTTGTCACACTTCTGAAAAACCTAGGGGACTTCATAAAGACTTAAATGGTTTTCTCCAAATGTGAGATCAAAATATATTATCTTTATCCCAATATTTCCAAAGTGCTTCTATATTCACTTTAATCATATAAACAAAGGATTCTTTGAAGCCAAAACATCTCTTTTAAAGCTTAAAGCACACACAAATACGTTTGCCAGACCTGAAACTTAGCTTCCACAATACTAACATAGCAAGTTCACGAAGTGTTGATATAATTTGAAGCACATAAACAACTCAGCATAAAGGTCCAAACACCTATGGATGGATATTCTCATATGGAGTACAGAAAATATTGTCCTGAGGAAAGTTCTTGAGAATTTTATATTACGTATAGGCTGGTTAATATTAAAAAACACCTTTCCTCTCATTTCAACCCTGCTGGCAGTGAAAAGCCTGAAGGATCCCCCAAACTAATGTACATCCCTTTCTCCCTGCAGAACAAAACTTGTAAAATACCCTAACTCACTGAGATCTACCAAGCCCCAATGTTATCTGCCTTTAGGCACCTGTTTAAATCAAGACTAAGAAGGCCTTTGGATGAATAATCATTCTAGAATGGGTATAACTACGGTGCTTTGTTTTGGTTTTGGTTTTACAGTTTCCAGCTTTCTAGACTTTTCAGGTCCTATCTTAACTATTTTTATTTTGACAGTGGTTTACTGCATTTTGTGGTTTTGTTTTTGCGTTATTGGAATTGTGGTTTACGTTTTTACATAATTGTGAAAAGTCAATCCAGTGCTTAGAATTTATTCTAGCCAAGGCACTCTGGCTTCTTATTTCATAACATTTGTTCTGCAATGTCTACCTACAAGAATATAGGGAAGAACTGCTGCTTTGCCCTAATGACTTTTTGTGTGTATGTGGTGTTGGTGGGGATAACATTGATACTATTTGTATAAGCAGCTATATGCAGAAGCAGCAAATCTCTGGATTTGTGGAATCTGATACATGTTTACTCAGAATGCACACTGACGTCAGTGGGAATTGTAGGTAAGTAGACACTGAATTGCATCCTACACCAGCAGAGACCCAGGTGTACATCACACAATCAAAGTACTGCATGCATTGCCACGGAAATAAGGTTGCATAGAAACTCTTTTTAATATAACTGCTCTTCTCCAGTGATGTCAAAAATTCCATGTTCGATCAGGGCTGCATCAATATTTTATTTTCTTTGTTAGTCTGATGAAAGCTGTGGAAATCGTCCTTGGAATGACAGCTTTCAAAACTTCATAAAAATATAATTTGTAGGAAGATAAATAATGCAGAACCTCAGACCTTCAGAATCATCTCAACGCTTCTCCCTTTCCCAAAACCTAATATTTTGGATATCTCTCTAACTGATGTCTCTTCAGCTGGTGCCTGGACATGAGTGGCTTAGCAGGTTTCAGTTACTGCCTTGATTTCAGTTGGTTTTTGTCTCTGTTTTTTCATTTTGTTAAATGCAAACCATGCCTAGGTGATTATGACACTGAAAATGTTGCCTTCTAGATGCAGTTTGGCTCCAACTCCCATCAGAGGCGGTTTTATGGTACCGCTGGGCGCTGCCCTGCAGGAGGTGCCAAAAACAATGCTGTGGAACAGAGTGCGAGAGGCACATGGGGGGGGGGCACATTGAATTTTAGCATAGCACAGGGTGCCACTGAAATTTAAGAGTCCAAAGTTCACCACTGCTCCCATTAACCTCATGATCGGGGATCATGCAAGTTGTATTCCAATAACATCTGGAAGGCACCATGTCACCTACAGTGCCTTACAGTGTCACCTTCCTCATGTGACAGTTCCCTTAAATGTACTGCATGTGGCAGCTTGGGTTGATAGCAGTCATTAGGCCTAAGGGACAGATAGGAAACCTGCAGTCATCTAGTTACTGGGCTACCCGGCCTAAGGAGATGCGCAGGTAGTAGTAACAACAGGAGCAAGATTTCTTAGCTGCTTCTTCAAAAATTGCATCCACACATGACCCCTACTAACTAGTAAAATTGGCATTAGGTAAAGGTAAAGGGACCCCTGACCATTAGGTCCAGTCGTGGCCGACTCTGGGGTTGCGGCGCTCATCTCGCTTTATTGGCCGAGGGAGCCGGCGTACAGCTTCCAGGTCATGTGGCCAGCATGACTAAGCCGCTTCTGGCGAACCAGAGCAGCTCACGGAAACGCCGTTTACCTTCCCACCGGAGTGGTACCTATTTATCTACTTGCACTTTGATGTGCTCTTGAACTGCTAGGTGGGCAGGAGCAGGGACTGAGCAACGGGAGCTCATCCCGTCGCAGGGATTCGAACCGCCGACCTTCTGATCGGCAAGTCCTAGGCTCTGTGGTTTAACCCACAGTGCCACCCACGTCCATTATGCCATCCCTTATTTCCTATTTTTATTTGTGCTTTCCCCACCTGTCTCTAAATAGCATTCTTCTCCTCATCTCTAGCACTTTGGGGAACAAATTTCAAAACAATTTCAGAGCTGGCTGGCTGGTTTCTTCCTATCCCTTTGTCACCCCACAGGAAACCCTTGAGACTTTCTTCTAGCCCTCTTACAACCGCGATGTCAATATTTGTTTGTGGTCTTAGTTAAGCATCTGCCTTGGTATCAAGCCCCACAGGAATTTACAGTGTGTAAGTAATGATAAACAAACATGCACCTTAACCAATCTGTACCTTGCTGCAGGGAGCGATCCAATATGCTATGGCAAGGAATGGAAGGCCGATGGAGACTCCGAAAACAGCCAAGAATTTCACAGCAATGGACTGCTGGCGTAAGCCTGAGAGGTTTTCGTACCACATGGTGAGCAACTGCTGCTGACAGTTGGGATGGGCAACAAACTGCAGGAGGAAAAAATGAATGTAAGCATCGCCTGAAGAATATAAGAGCTGATCAAGAAAATAGCATGAGTCCCCTGACCACAGGGGTGATGAAGCTGTAAATATACAGAGAAACAGAGCCCCCTTTAAACATTCAAAGCTTGTAGCAAAGGCAGAGAACAAATCCCTGGAAAACAGAGAGATTAGGCCCATTCATGTAACACTCATCATCTATGTCTTATCAGACAAAACATTGCTTGTTCCAAAAGTTCAAATCTAAGGTACTTCCAGACAGGAATTTATTGTAGAACAGTATTCCTCATCCATGCAAGTTTTTTGCAGCATCCACATAGCATTGTTAGCAACAAATTGCTAGTCACCTCCACCCCCCATTTTAATTCTGATAAACCCTTTTTGCAGAAAATCCAATGAGTTCTTAAAAAAAACAAATCTGTTGACAATAATCTATTTGGAACATATGCAACATCTACACTGACTTGAAAACACCCCCATTATCGGGACTTCCGGGGAGGTGCCTCCGGTAATGGTGGAATTCCTCTGATCGGGAGGAATCTGCTCCGTGGGAATCTGGGTCTGGCCGCCACGGCGAAGGCGGAGACCCGTTAAAATCACAGGCGGGAGAAGCCTGTGAGCGTGGGATTCGGCGGGCACCTTTTGCGCCTCCCCCACTCGCAGGGAACCCTGGTTTTTGGGGCTCCGGAGCGACGTGGGGTGAGCGGCGCAGTGCATCAAATCGTCTGCTTCTTCCACGGAGCGAAGCCGCATAGCTGTTGCCGGAGAGCGCTGACCTTTTCCTGTGGACAATTTGACTTTAAAGTAATTACCCGTGAGTAGAGCTGAAGCAGAAGAATTGGATTTCTAAATGTTTAATTTGGTACCGTAACGGGGAGGTCCAAAACAGGAAGTCCACCTTCCCCTTTTGTAAATAGACTGAGGCAATGAAGTTGCAATCTGGAGTCCTGGAAAGCCTTTTATAAAAGATTAAATTTCCATCGGTAAAGAACATTAAACCCCCTCTTGGAGGCAGGAGAAGAGAGGGGGAAGTTGCGGATTGAGTATGCCTGCGGGAGAGAGCGAAGAGATTTAAAACACTGCCGCTCTGACCCTGGAAACGGGCTGCTAGCAGGACTGACATCTTTTGGAATGTTCCTTGACAGTGTTTAGAACGTTCATTGACAGCTAGTTAAACAAGAGAAATACATTGTTTCTACTGTCTCTGGCTGCTTTAAAAAGGTGTAAAAAGTAACTGAAAATTGAAACTAATTTGAAACTAATTTTGGATTGTTTAAAAGAGGATACTATTGACTATTACAAATAGAAACTGTTTCCCCCTAGTGGAAGCCTTTGAAACCGGTTGCTTTACAAGAGCTGGGCTAGGGGAATTTCCAGCTGCA